TATTAAGACTGGGAGATATAGCAACCCTACCTAATACATAGAAAGAAACACAAGGAGGCAGCCAAAATGGGGAGACAAAGATGTCCCATGTGAAAGAACAGAACAAAACTCCAGAAAAAGAACTAAACAAAATGGAGACAAGCAATCTTCCAAACGCATAGTTCAAAACACTGGTTATAAAAATGCTCAGTGATTACAGAGAGAACTTCAACAGGAGATAGGAAACGAAAAATGGAGATAGAAAACAAAAAGGAACCAGTCAGAAATGAGGAATACAATAACCGAAATAAAGAATATATTAGAGAGAATCAACAATAGATTAAATGAGGCAGAGGATCAAATAAGTGATTTAGAAGATAAGGTAGCAGAATATATCCAATCAGAATAGTAAAAAAATAATAATAATAATCCAAAAATGTGAGGATAGAAAAGGAACCTCTGGGACAATATCGAGCATACCAACATTCACATCCTGGCAGTGCCAGAAGGAGAAGAGAGAGAGAGCAAGGAATCAAAAACCTATTTGAAGAAATAATGACAGAAAGCTTCTCTAACCTAGTGAAGGAAATATACATACAAGCTCAGGAAGCTCAGAGAGTCCCAAACAAGATGAACCCAAAGAGACCCACACCAAGACACATCCTAATTAAAATGCTAAAGGTTAAAGACGGAGGGATAAAAACAGCTAAAGGGAAATCTCCAAGTTCCCTTTAAAGCTTAAAATCAGCAAGAGAAAAGCAGTTAGTTACCTACAAGGGAGCTCCCATAAGACTGTCAGCTGATTTCTCAACAGAAACTTTGCAGGCCAGAAGGGACTGGCACAAAATATTCAAAGTGCTGAAAAGCAAGGACCTATAACCAAGATTACTCTACCCGGCAAAGCTATCATTTAGAATTGAAGGACAGATGAAGAGCTTCCATATCTATCAACGATTACTTTAAATGTAAATGGATTAAATGCTCCCATCAAAAGATAGGGTGTCTGAACAGAGACAAAAAAAAGATCCTTACATATGCTGCCTACAAGAGACTCACTTCAGCTTGAAAGACACACACAGACTGAAAGTAAAGAAAAGTAAAAAGATATTTCATGAAAATGAAAACAAACAAACAAACAAAAAAAGCTAGAGTAGTAAAATTTATGCTAGACAAAATAGACTTTAAAACAAAGGCTATAACAAGAGACAAAGAAGGACCCAGTAATCCCACTGCTGGATATTTATCTGAAGAAACCCAAAACACTACTTTGAAGGGACATGTGCATTCATATGTTCACTGCAGCATTATTTACGATAGCCAAGATATGGAGACAAGGTGGGTATCCATCAATAAATGAATGGATAAAGAAGATGTGGTATATATATGTGTACAATGGACTATTACTCAGCCACAAAAAAGAATGAAATCTTGCCATTTGCAATGACATACATGAACCTAGAAGGTATTGCGCTGAATGGAGTAAGTCAAACAGAGATAGACAAATGCCATATAATTTCACTTATATGTGAAATATAAAGAAAAAAGTAAACAACAGAAACAAACTCACAGATACAGAGAACATTTTGATAGTTGCCAGATGGGAGGGGTTTTGGGAGAGGTGGGTGAAAAAGGGGAAGGTATTAAGAAGTACAAATTAGTAGTTACAAAATAGTCACGGGGATGTACAGTATGGCGTAAAGAATATAGTCAATAATATTGTAATAACTATGTATAGTGTCAGATGGGTATTAGATTTACCAGAGTGATCATTTCATAAATTATATAAATGTCTATGTTGTACACCTGAAACTAATATAATATTGTATGGCAACTGTAATTGAAAAAAATTCTTGAAAGAAAAGAAAAGGGAATATAATGTATGGAGGAAAGAGAATTCCATAGAGAATTAGGAAATATTATAAATAGTTAAATAATCTGATGACTTTGGACAAGTCACCTTACCTGAAAAATAAGTAGAAAGGAAACATTACAATAATAGCTAATATTTATTGAACTGTCATTATGAGTTGGACACTGGACACTGTATTTGAATCTAAATCTCCAAGTTCTTTTTAAGTAACGACATTCTAAGACTTGAGATATAATGCTTTTATTTTATTTTATTTTATTTTATTTATTTTATTTCAATTAAATTTATTGGGATGACATCAGTTTATAAAATTATATAGGTTTTAAGTGTACAATTCAATAATATGTCACATGTATATTATGCTGTCTGTCTACCATCGAAAGTTAAATTTCCTTCCACCAAATGATTATATGATTACAGCCTTGTGGCATCTTTTCTTTACAACAATTCTTGGCCAATAAATGTGATGTACTGATGCTACTTCTTGGATAGGAACTCTACTGTGTGCTGGTGAAATGGGAAATGAATAGAGGGCTTGCCTCTGTCTTCTAGCCCCGACCAATGGTCTCCTCTCTGAGTGTCACCCATTGGCTTTGGAAATGTATTGCCTTCCTTTTTCCAAAGCCTGCTTACAGATAGCCTTCCCAAACTGACCACCCAACCTCCAGCTGTGATCCTCTCCTCCTATGCCCCAGAGGCCACTTAGAGGCCCGCTCTGTATAGCTGTCTAGTTTCTCTTTGTTACTCTGCTTCAGCTCTCTGCACCAGCAGTGGCAGCTGGGTTCTGGAGCTTCCTGAGGACAAGTGCCCAGTCCCTAGGCCCAGGGTAATCTGCATACATCAGATGCTCACTCGGTACAGGAAGTGCTGTGGGCTGACTAATGTAGAAACATAAACCAAACCACCATAACTAAATCAACACAGTATTTCCTGGAACAGAAGCTCAGAGAAAGAAAATGGCTGTAACCTCGAAAAAAGCTCCACCCTTCCCTCTACGAGTGGAAAATCTAGATTGAGGAAGAAAATATCTGCCTCTCTACCCTCATTTCAGGCAATATCCCATCAATTCTGTCATGTAGATGTCTCAGGTGTAGCCCCATCCAGTGCTAGGCCGAGGACCCACCTGGTTAAGGATCTTGCCTTTTACTTTCAGGTGCTAGGATTCTAGAACCAAATATGAGAAAGGGATATCCACTTCCTATGGTTCTGCAAACATGGCTGGTTGTATTCCCATCTTGCTTACTCTCATTTACAACATACTTGGGGGTTCACAGGTCTTAAGAGCTTGCATATACTCTACCCTGTCTTGAATGCCATTATTCTCATTCTCCACAGCAAACTCATACTTCTTCGAAAATGAACCCAGGTAGTCACCCTCTAGCCCAGGGAGTTTTTGACACACTCCTAAAAAACCCCTGGATTTTGTGTACACTCTTATTGTAGAAAAGATCACATTTTGTCACTTTGAATTTCATAACAACATCCATTATCCTTTTGTCTCCAGCACTTGGCACTATGCTTAGCCACTGGCATGTTGCAAGACAGGAATGAGGAAGAGGAATAGGACTCAGGTTGGGAGTCCAAAGATTTCTGATCAGAGGTCAACCCGAGGACATAAGAACCTGAAGATCAACAGAATTTGACCTTTCCAGTTTGTGCTTCTTGTCAGTTACCAAAGGTGAAGGCCCTTAGGTTGTGGTAGTCACGAAGGGGTGGATTTTGAATCATTCCCTGTGTGAAAAAGGTGCCCAACCCTTTCATTTAAAGGCTAAATATTCTTAACCAGCCGATACAGGAAACATCACAGGAAATCGTGTTTTAGCTCAGCCTTATCTCCAATTCAACTGAAATTTCAAAACAGTGCGGATTCTGGCAGGGATTGAGAAAGCAAAACTTTTTTTTTGTTTAGCCAGCAGCTAAGATTCTGCTTTTGCTCAGCTTTCTTCCAAAGCACTTGAATACATATCTAATATCTCTTAGCTCTATGAATTCCTTAAGGTCAGGCCTCTTTGACGGACAAACATCCTTCTACCTTGCCCATCCCCTCCCTACCATCATCTTCCAAAGCACAGTGCTGACCCCAGAGGGTGTTTGATGCCTGATTGATTGTTAAATAACTTTGTTAAAAAGTCTGATCTTTATTTTTAAATTCAAGGTTCAATAGCTTTTGAGGTGCTTTGGCATTCCCACCACTCACTGTTAGGTGGGTGGTTGTCATCTTAGGGAAATTTCCTCTCCCTTCCAAGCCAGATACTGGCAGGTCCTGGAAGGAGAAAGTTTCGATCTAGAGTTCCCTGTGGTGACCTGACCGCCAGCAACTATGGTGGTCACAGAAACCCAAGACCAAAGACTTTATGAGTCTATGACACCTCAATCATTAGTTACGGGGCATAAATTGGAAATACTGCAATATCCAGTTTCATTGACTGGAGCATGTCATATTTATTAATATTCTTGTTTTGAACACCAACAATAAGTTTATTTGGGAGAACTCTGGTGGTCATGATACCCCTTCCTGCCATTTGAAAACAAAAAATGTACGTGTCTCTTAGAAGTGTCTAACTTTCACCTCTTGAGATACAGATACTGACCACATCCTTTGTTCCTGACTAAGCTGAGTGATTTGTAGTACTCCTTGTATTTAGTGGCTCTGAGGAATCACAGTAGGAGTTACTAAATTTACATTTGAAGTTTCCTCAGATGAAGTAGACCTACATCTCTCGATTACCTTTCTAAATGGCTCTGGTTGTTGGTTCTCTTCGCACTTTAAAATTACAAAACCAATCTTCTAAAGACCAGAGCATGTAGAAAATCTCTCCAACTTCATCTTGCACAGAAAGCTCCAGGCATCAGAAATAGTCACATACAGAAATTCAATTTTGGAAACAATTTAAGCACAAGAATGCCCTGACCCAAAGAGATATCAGATAATGGAAACCTGATTAATTAAAAGTCTTTCTGGCCTGATTGCCTTTTGAGGATTACTAGGATCTTGCTGATCCTTTTACTTCCTACATATCTTTGTGAAAGAGCAGCAGAAGATTTTAAGGTCACTAGTGAAGTATCTGGAAACTCCTAAGCAGATACCTTCCCCACGTTATATAGTTTAGGTCTCTGCTGTCAAATCAGATTAAAATGTCATCGGTCTTACCTTTTGCAGGCAATTTTCTTCAGTCCTTTAGGTAGAATTGATGATTATCCTATAGGTGGCCGTGAGAAGGCTGGTAACACGGATGTTGAAACTATTTGTGTAAAAGGAGAAGTGAAGGGAGAATAAATGTGATTGCACTGTGACAACAGGAAGCCCATATGAGGAGAGGGAGGAAGTGAGCCTGGGCCTGCCCTCATTAGCTTCAGAGATGCAATCCTTCCCCTTCAAACTTTTTAGAAGTTTGTTCCCACAACCCACCCAAATACCTAAACCGGTTTCTGTGAAACACAGTAAAACTCGAAAACCAGGTTGGTTCAGGCACTAATCTGTGAGCGTGGTGGGTTCTTGAATGATTTGGGTATTAATTTTTTTGTCTAGAAAAGGACGGTGCTTCTCAATCAAGGTGGCACCATGGAATAACCTGTGGATCTGTTCAAGGATGAGTTTGACCTCACCATCAGAGTTTCCCATTCAGGTCGACTGAAACTAGAGTCCAATCTAAGAATTAATATTTTAAAAGTTTTCTAGGACTGAGACTTAGGAACATCTGTGATGCCACTCCACTTCCCCGCCACCCTCCCTCCAGCTGCCTTCCGGAAATCTCTAGTCTCCAGTTTGGTTGGGCCACTAGCCTCAGACTTCTGTGTCTCAGAAGCTGGACTGTCCTTATGTAAGGGTATTGCTGAAGGCAAACCACAAGGCGCACAAGACAAGGGGCACTGGCAGAAATGATTTGGTCAATAGAGGAAGGTCTAGATTTAGAGCACAAGGATCTGGGTTTCAGTGCCAGTTTTATCTCTGTCAGCTGTGAGATACAGAGCAAGTCTCAATCCCTCTGCTTCAGTTTATTAATAGTATGATTAAAAAATAACATTAATGGAGCCACTTTAAAATGGAGTTGGAACTGCCATCCCATCAGATACCTTGTGTGTCTCACAGCTCGAACCGTTAGAATGTTAAAACTGGGCAAAATAACCCGTGGACTGAGCCTAAAGCAGCGTTGTATCCCAACCCACCATTTATGAAGATAATAGAAAAGCAGACATTATGACTACCAGACTGAAAATTAAAGACATTCTTTAGAAGTAGCATCACTCTGTTAGTTTATCTGCACCTATAGAAAACCTTTCTTAGTTTATTAACACCCATGGAAATTTCTTCCTTCTATGTATGTGATTGTTTCCCCTCCTTTTCTCATAAATACCCCTTGCCTTCACCTCCTAATCAGAACACTATTTGGGTCTCTGCCTGAATCAGTGATTCCCAAATAGCTATTCTTTAGGATCTCAAATAAACACTTGTGGCCTTTTACTTTGGCCCTTTATTTTTAGGTCGACTGTAACATCTAATTATAACCCTACTAGATAGTTACTGTTATATCCCCATTTATCGATGAAAAAAACAGAGGCTCAAAAAGGTTAGATAATTTGTCCAAGATTACACAACTAAGAAATGGCAGAGCTGGGACTCAAAGTCAAGGTCACATAGTGTTTTAGAAACACTATGACCAGTAGATTTTGAAAAATATGTGTTCAGTTTTCACTCTGTTGTGTTTACTGGGATTTTCTTAGATTGGTAGGATCAAGGGACTAGATAATAACCCTAATGGATTCCTAGCCAGCTGTGAACTTAGAACCAATCACTGAGTCATAGTGGTTTCATCCAATAAATGAAGAGATGGACACTCCATAGCATTTGACTTAGAAGCGTGTGTCTGGGAGAGCTAATGTTCTCTCTTTTCTTTCTTCCAGAGATGCTCAGATTCTGGAATAACCTCTGACCAGTGCTGGCTTATAGGAAAGCCGAGTTAAACAACGATGAAAATGTCCTTTACTGCAGAACTTGTCAGTCTTTGATATTCCCTTAATATTCTTTAAATATGCAGATTTTCTCAAACTTATTTGATCATAGAACAGTGTGTGTGCGTGTGTGTGCGCGTGCACGTGCACGTGTGTGCACGTATGTGCTTGTTTTTCCCAGGGAACAGTTTTTCAGTGTAACTGCACCTTAGGAAATGCTGTTATAAACTCTCCTCATCTCTGCTGGCATCAGTCTGAAGAATTACTGCCTCTCACTTGGGGCTGCGGTCACATTGACAGACTCCTGAAGTGGAGCTGATGAGGAAAGACTTCTTGCTTAACTCACTTTTTCTGTCATCTCATTCATCCTGATGGCTTTAGTTGCTATTTCTCTCTGCCAAAGATTCACAAATTTGTATGTGCCACCTGATCTCTCGTTTCCACTCCACACAGGCACTTGAAGTCCATTGTCCAAAATTCAGCTTAGCAAACTCAGCACACTCCCACTCAAACCTGCTCTCCATGCCCCCATTACCATCTCAGGAAAAGGCCTGACTAGCCCCCCAGTTGCCCAGGTCAGAAACAAGGTGTCTTCTTAGGCTACTCTCTCTCTTAGAGCACCATGTATTATTCTTAAAAAATGATTAAAGAAGACAGTTTAGGTGATACAAACAAACTTTATTTAACCCTTCACAAAGCAGACAATCTCCATTTGGAGTACTGAAAAATAGGCAGAAAGTAGGAAGATTTTATAGAATAAAGAATAAAGAAAAGGAAGAGAAAATTAGAAAATGTCTGATTGGCTGGGGCCACATAGTCAACTTCATTTGGGGTGAGAAGGCCCAGAGTTGGCTTCAAGCTTGGATATTGGCTGACTGGACATACTGCATTTCTGGTCAGGAAGAGCATTTACAGAGACACAAAAGTCACCTAAGTTTTGGTTTGTTGACATGGTACTCAGGCAGGCATGGCTCTATCTTGTGCCTAGAAAGTTAATTCAACATTATCGACCTAGTCTTTTAAATTATTCTGTTGCCTAAATATTTTGTAATAAGGTCACTTCTCTCCAACTCCAGAGCTATTATACCAATCCTTATCTCTCGCCTGGATTAAGTTGATCATCCTCTTTCTAGATCAACTTGGATGTTTTCTCACTCAGCCCTAAAGAGGAGAGCCTTCTAAAAATGCAAATTTAATCATGTCACTTTCCAGTTTAAAACTATTCAATGGCTTCCCATAGGTTTTCAGCAGCTTCTACTAACTCCTGACACTATCAGCTGGTCAGTCTTTCTCCATCTCCACTCCTATTGTCTCGCCATACTGGATAATGAATTCTTGTAATTTGCTTGAACAAATCAGTCTAGTTCTCTCTCTCTCTCTCTCTCTCTCTCTCTCTCTCTCTCTCTCTCTCAATCTCTCTCTCTCCTCACCCCCAACCCCCAACCCTTTCCTCTCTGTCTCTGGAATGTTCTCACACCTCTTCGCCTGACTAATTCCCACATATTCTCCATTTCAGTTCTTTCAAGAAGTCTTCACAATTGGACCAGGCACCCATTGCCAATCAGCATTGCTTTATCTTTCATTGTTTTCATAATTGTCTGTTTTCTCTACTAGACTCAAAGCTCTGTAGGTAGGTTCTCTGTTATTCTGTGTATGTTGAATGACTGTGTTTGGCAATAAGAGTTGCTCTGTAAATATTTGAATAGCTTCAGGTAGTGTGAGGCCTGAAACTTGGGGGAACTAGAGATTTGGGAATGGAGGAGAAAGTCAGAGAGCAAGATAAGTAGAGTGAACCTCTGTGGAGGGAGAGTGGTTATTACAGAGGGGATTTCAGGAATATCAGGAAGAATATCTCAAGACAATAGTTACTTGTGGCAGAAATGGATGACCTTTTAGTGGAGAAAACTTTTTCTTTAGTGTTTTCCTCTCCATCATCTCATTGAGAAGGGTCGATTCAAATGCTTGACAACCACAGGTGACTGTGGCCTGGGAGTCAGGAAAGGATGGAAAACTTATATCCACTTAGACCCAAATCTATAAGATTTCATTGAGAACTAATGCTGTTTCTGACCACTCCATTTGGATATACGAGAAAAATAAAATGAAGAATAAGACAACATTGAGGCAGCCCATGTTGTTGAATAATCCAGAAGAATTCTCAAAAACTTTGAAAACAACTAACTTAGAGAAGGAATCTAGCAGAAGCTCAGACCTGTGGTTTGGTCTCAGTGCATGATGTGTTGATCAAGTATTGCATGTGATAACAGAACCTGGGAGTTTAGAGACCTGCAGTTGGCCAGATGAGGAGTGGGAATACAAATTATAGGTGCCCCATCATCATGCAGTAGCACCTGCCAAAATGCATCTCCAATGGATAAAGCCTCATACAGATACAGAAAGATCATTGGGTCCTCATTTAGGCCTTCTCTTAAAGCATTCTAGATGAGTGAGTCTCTTTGTCTTATATTGAAAGTAGTTACTATTGAAATATGAGAAGAATGTAGATGGAATTCCCAAGCTTTTTCCAGCAAGTTACTTAAGCACGCAAGAATATTAGAGTTGTGGAGGCGTAGGTGCTTGTGAGGATTATGAGGTTGGAAGCTTCACGTGGAAGATTGAAGTTAATTAGTACCACATTGGTTTTGCTTATGGATTCTAAAGTTAGAGTTTTGAAGAGAGTACAATAGGATATATTTTAAAAGAAAGTTCTTCATGTAACTTGTTATTATGAGTTCTATCTTCATATCATTTGGATATATCTGAAATTTCAAAAAATCATTCATATTAAGAAATAAATTAAAAATCGTGGTTTCAGAAATTGCATATATACATTTTCTAGGGCCAATCTCATTCTTAGGGCCTAAATTAAGTAGCCATAACATATCACGGGCATTATGTAAAAAAGTGCTGAACCATTTGGCAGTATGGCATCTAGGACCATAGTACCGGTAGGGGGCTGCCATGGATGCAAGTCTGCCAATCCACGTCACACTGGACATGCCCAAAGGCAAGGAAGTATTGTGATTGGTTAAGGTAGCTATAATAAAAAAAAATCATATTGTCATAGTCCACTTGGGCTGTTGTAACAAAAGTATCATAGACTGGGTAGTTTATAAACAACGAAAATTTATTTCTCACAGTCTAGAGGCTGGCAGTCCAAGATCAAGGTACCAGCAGATCCAGTGTCTGGTGGGAGTCTGCAACCTGGTTCGCAGACGTCTGTCTTCTCGCTGCATCCTCACAGGGTGAAAGGGGTGAAGGGGCTCTCCGGGGTCTTTTCTGAGGGCAGCAATCTCATTCATGAGGGCTCCATCCTCATGACCTCG